GCGGAAGCGCCGCCTCTCCCCCGCCCCCCCGGCCTGCCAACGCCCCGGCCCCCGCCGTCCTCTCCCGGTGTCTCTGCGGGAGCCCGGCCCCTGCAGCCGCCGTCCCTCGCCCCAGCTTTGGGGTTTGCATCCTTGCTTTTCCCAGCCGCGTTTGTTTTATTTTCCAGCTGCCAGGGAGACTCGGCGTTTAGGTAAACTGTTTTGGTTGGCGTTAAAAACAAAACCCCGCGTGGATAAGCCCGTTACTGTCGTGGACGGGAGCCGGGAGGCAAACCCAAGGTGACGGTGGCTTTAAGCAAGTCAGGTTTGCGTGGTAGGATGGGAAACCCTCTGAAGAGTCGGTGCTGTCACTGACAGAAAAATTAAAAATAGGTACCGCTGAGGAAACGGCGAGGTTTTTTTGCATAATATTGTAGTTGAACTTGCGCAGGATTTGCATGATGTCCAAAAGACTGGCTGAACTGTAATGGCACTGGTAGTTACATATTATCTATGCAACTTTTAAATAAATATATTCTTCACATGATACCCTCGTGAACCACAAGGGTGAGCAGTTTATTAACTCTGAACAGAGCCGTGCAGCTCTCAGGTTGTCTGGCAAGGTTGCTGGCAAATGTCTCTTGGGTAATCTCAGGGGAGGAGAGGAATTACTGCATTATTAAACAATTCACAGGCTCTAAATTTACCGAAGAAACTCTGAATTTGTTTGCCATGGGTCGAGCCCTACCTTTCAAACTTAGCTGGCGAGCCTGGGGTTTGATACTGAAGACGGGTGAAAGAGCTGCTCTTGTTGCTTTAAAACTGCTTCGTCCCCTGCTTTTCTTTGTTAAATATTGAATTGAGCAAATGGAAGTTTGAGCTGTAAGAACAGGGTTGCAATTGCTGTGTTCGACTTGGTTAGTTAAAGTTTAACGTCAGAGGCTTGGAAGATGTTCCACTCGGAGGAAAACTGATTTGCAAATACGGTTAAGGCACCTGCAGCTTGGTGCAGTTCCTGTACAGGACAAATATAGCTAACAAAATTGTTATGTGCTGTAACTGGATGGGGTTTGCTCGCTTTTTATTGTCTCTTTTTTTTCTCTCTGCTCCAGGTAAAGGCATTAAGCGGTAGCTCTGAGGAGCTTTCCTTCAGAAAGGAGAGCGCGAGGTTCCCTTCAGAACTGGTTGTGGATTTTTGTGGCTGGAGGAAGTAGTGGTTTTTATGAACAGATTAAATTTTTGGTGAGAAGTCTTTCCATAGCCCGAAACGCCAGTCTTTTGGACATAAGATTTGAGCGAAGTTGCACAGGCTCCCCTATCAAACATCGTGTTCGTTTAACAGAACGGTTATTGAGTTAGCCGGCGTCACGGGGAGATGTTGACTGTCAGTGTGAATAATTGAGAGAGTTGTTTTTATGGCATATGCTGTGGGAGTTGGTCCTGTTTTGATGGGAACAAGGATTTGCAAATAAATACTGGCTGTCAAAAGCCTGCAGAGTTTAGCAGGTTAGTAAAGTCTTGCTGCTGCTGCTTCGTGAGAGCTTTGGTTTGAGTGTTACTTGTTTGCAGTGGAACTTTCTGGAGTGGTACCTGGTGTGCTAATATGTGATGAAGCACAAAAACATTTTTTTAATAGAGTACGTCTGTGCTGAAGTTATTTACTTTACAATATGGAGCAACAGAAAGGATAAAGACAAACTTCTAAGGCCATAATGAAAGAGAATATCATGTTCTCGTCTTTAAAAAATAGACGTTATGCAAATTGTGAGTGAGCCCACCAGTTTTGTTGGTGGGAATTGTGTAGTTGAAGCTGGCTGCGGTGCTTTCCTGTTGAGCAGCTCTTCAAGGGGAGACTGTTCAGCGTCTGGAAACAAAGGGTGCAGTGATACTGATACAGGAGCAGAGAGGATCAGATGATTTTGTGTGGCTGAAAAGAAGTCCTACGGGCTTAAAACAATTCAATGTACACCAACTTTTCCACTTCTCAAAAAGCTCATACGACCTTGTTTTGAATTAATATTTCTGTCTGTTCCAAGTCTTGTAAGCATCACGTAAACTTGCTGACGGTAGAGACAGAGGAAAGCAGGGAGGATGTCACTAAGTTAGCTTTGTGGGTAAATATGAGTGCCCTTCCCCTTTTTTTCCCCTTCTTGGAAACAGATTTATGTCATCTTTGTTTTTCTTCTGCTTTCCTGGCCCCTTAGATGTTTGCCATGCTGCTGCCCTAAAATGGGATGCACTTACTGAATGTGAATATTCCTGTGGGAGAACGTGTGTTGTAGGATGATGATGAATTCTGTGGCTTTCTGTATTGAATGTTTCATTTGTCTTGAATTTTAAAAAAATCATTGCACTGATAAAGAATTGTTGTCACTTCTGCATTTATTATTGCCTGTTCTTAGTAGCTTGACTCCAAGTCGAAATGAAAGAAATTTGGGCCGGTGAGAGGTAACAAGAGAGGTGCTGAGGTGGCTAATAGAAAAAGAAGAAATCTGGCTTCTAAAAAGGAAATTGTATCTTTTTTTTTTTTTTTTGCTTCCACACTATCTGATTTTAGGTTCAGGACTGCGTGTTTCAAATCCCAGAGATTGGCACTGAGTTTTCCATCTTTTTACCTGTTAAGTGAGCTGATGGTACTTTGC